GACAGAGAGTCACAGCTCTATTGTACTGTGTATTCCTAGCAGTAGCAACAACTTTATGAGCTTCTTTAATGATAAAATATTACTATTAGAGACTAAATTAACTGCCCACAACAGGTATGGCTGTGTGTCCAAATACAGGAATCTTAACTGTAAAACCAGATATATATTTAGACTGCTTTTCTGCTATCCTTAGAACCAACAAGACAATTTTTTATTTATTGGCCTCATGAGCAGACAGACCGATGCCGATTATCTCAAGATGTTATGAATGTTTCAATGTGTCAACAATTACCAAATTAAGGCAATGTGCACTGCAGTGTGTGTGTATATATATATATATATATATATATATATGTATACACACCATTCCATAGCCATTACATTGTGCAATCAATGTTTACTCAATGATAACTTAAAGCAAAAAAGTTGTCCATTTCCACTTAAAATACCAGTCAACACCACATTCCTTCATCTTATTAGACATTTATTGCAGGAGCCCAAACAGGTCACACAAGCTTACTTTATACCCACAATCAACCACCCAAGAGTCAGCTGCAGGTCAGCAACACAATGTTTTTTGCAGATAGAAATGTATGCTTCCGCAGACTTCATGTGTCTGAGCACGGTGGTTTTGAAAAACCTGTGCAGCTAACGCTGTTCCCTTGGTCATGCAGTTCGCACATTTTCAGGCTTTCCAAGAAAGTGCATCCCTTATTGTGCAACGCATCCTGGCACATGCAATAGCAATGTTACACAAGCTGTGTGAGTACATGATGTTCTTTCAAACTTGTCTATTAACCGTCACACATCAAATGTAGATAAAATGCAATTCACACATTTATTGTACTATTTCCTCTCACGCAGCTGCGGCTAATGGGGTTTCCAACGCCTGTCCAAGGGACAAGGGTCTTTTCCTTATATGGTAAGAATTTAAAATTAAAGCTTTCATTGGTTATGCATAGTATGCATGCATGATATCCTGCACGTAAGCATCTAAAGAGTGTGCATGCAGAGGACAATGCATGATCTACGTGGGGAGGATGCTGTTTCAGTCTCTTAAGTAAAGTCAAAATTAGCACATTTTTTGTAGCTTTTTGTTGTCTCCTAATAGTTGGACATTCATCTACAGGACATAATTTAAAAACCTCTTTAGAAAACTGACTGGCCTTCCTGAGTTTAACTGATCTGAAGGTATGTAATGTTTCCTACCTGTTCATATCAAATTAAAGCACAGATAAACAATATACTGTTGGCATGCTTTAACCAATGTGTAATTATCCTGGTTCAATGATATTGAATGCAGCACACTGCAGTTTATCTACAGGTTGTTTTTCTACCAGATTGATTCACTGAGTTTTTTAAAGCTCATATGTAACTTTAAGCTGAATTATCTTTCCCCTGAATATCCAAACATTGTTCAGTCCTCTCACTGACATCAATGGAATTTTAAATAAGAATTTTCTTTTCCAGATTTGCAATCATAAGAAAAATATTATTAAAAGAGAATGTTTTCTGAGCTTTAAACTGAAGTATATGACTGTACTATGATGAAACACATCAAAGCTGGTGTTAATATTGTCAGTACTGTCAAATCTCATGGGTTGAAAGTGTCTCAGCGTGCCCTCTACGGTTTTAAAACAGCCTGAACATTGTGAGTCCAATGTTGACATACAGTGGACATTTTGGGATGACTTTACGTCAGTGTTAACAATGGTTCAGACTTTTATTATCTGTCCGACCACAACTTCTCAGTTTTGGTTTCACTGTCAAAGCTAATAATAATAATAATAATAATAATAATAATATGGTACTAATCATTTACCCACAAAACAAAACAAAACAAAAACAAAACAATCACCAGTTGTCAGGAGGGGTGAATCTGAGGTAAACTGACCCAAAACTCCTGAAGTCTGAACCCAGCTTTAGAGACTAAGCTGGTCGAGCATTAGCAGCTGAAGAGCCTGATATTTCCTTCAGGGGTTGATAAGAGACCAAAAACAGAGCCAAACAAGAGTGAATGTTTACTGCCCCCAAGTGGCCAAAAATATGAATTATTGCAGGAGTTATTGCAGGTTTAACACAGGCCCTGCTGGAGCTTTCAACTGCATGGCAAGGTCTTCTATAGGTTCAAACCTTAAGGACTGAGTAACATCCACATTCTAAGGGACCTACTTTCTTCAATCAGTGATTTGTGCCCCCACAGTAGTGTTGTTAGTGATGTTTGTTAGTACAACACATAAACCAACTGGTGTATTAGCCTGTGTTTCTTTCATTTGTTTAATCTTTTCATACTATATTCTGTTTCTTTGTTTAATTCTTAGTTGATCCAAAACCTGAGATTAAATCCTCAGGATCACAACATGAGCCGCAGTTCAGATCTGATGTAGACTCAGAAAGACCAAAAGACTCATCTGCAACTGGAAAAAACTGGAAAAAAGGACCAGCTACCAAAGTCACAGGAGACAAAGAGGAAAGAAATTGCTATGGTAAAATTTGTATTGTTGAATTATATTTTTAGTTCACGTAATAGCATATAAACGCTTGTACAATTATATTTGCACAGTAGTTCACATTAAAACACATAAAATGATGGCTTTGGGTTTATTCATTAATTCAATGCCTTTTGCAGAATCCCTCCCTACTGATCAAGTATACCCTGGATAAACTCGGAGCAACAGGCCTAGAGGAATTTTGTTTCACTCTAAGGAATTACCGTGGCTCAGAGCATGATCCCATTCCTAAAGGCAAACTGGAAAGTAAGGGCACCGTGGACATCGCTACGATAGTGACTGAACACTATGGATGTGAGGAAGCTTTACGGGTCACAAAAGATATTCTCAATGAAATAGGTCAGCGTGAACTTGCTTCTCAGCTTGACAGCAACATGGGTAAGAAAATAACAATAATAGTTTTTAAATCATTGCAATATCAAAGCTTTACTTTAAATCAGTGTTCCTCAAACTTTTCAGACCGTGTACCACTTGTTGCTGAACCGAAATGCCACAAGAGTAAGGAAACTAATGCATCTCTCACTCTTTACACTTGCACACTGTATATTTACATGTATGCTAAATGTTAGAAGTATGGCTAAATTACTGCTGTAAAGCCTACAGATTTCTCCAGATTTTCAGGGTCTGCTGGTATAACTTTATTTATGGACTTTATAGAACTGATTTATACATTTACTTATTTATTTGTTCATGCAGGTCCAGTGAAGCACTGTCATAAATGTGGTGATGATGACGAGGTCAAAGAAGACACGGTGAGCACAGACTCAGCGTCCTTTTCCAAACATAAACACAAGAAGAAGAAAGGAAAAACTCTTTGTTGTTCAATAGAAATAAACTGGTCAGCATTCTGCTTTAAATGCCATTGCTCTAGTGGAAACTAGACATTAGAAACTGATCACAATTCCTTTCCCTAATTTTCAATGAAAATACCGAAAGGAGATTGGTATAATATAAACTAAAACTATTACAAGTAAATGCTCTCAGGTCACCTGGTAACAGTCCAGATGAATAAACCGCAATCTTTAAAACCAGGTAGAAACCATTTTTGTCCTCCATGCTTTTGATATCAGATGTACTTCTGTTATTGTGCTGTATCCTCTGCTATTGTATTTGTTCTGGTAAATATTTTATATATTTTTAATAGTGTTTCAAATGACTTGTTAATGTGTTTTGCCTTTTTTAAACCTGCTAAATAAATGAACTTGCCATGCTATTTTTTGTTCTCACTCACTGATTTTACACAATACAGCTGAGGTTGGTGGGAATGCCATTAGTTTTGCAGGTATTTGATCATAAATCAAAGTATTGGACACATTCTAATTCTTTGGCTGTACAAACTTATTTTTCCAGTTTCTTTATGCCAGCACTATGCATTGGCAGAATAAAAACCTAGTACTTTGTCATTACAAGCAAGTTATGAATTTGTTTATTAATTCACTTATTATTTAAAACAGAAGAGGCAGAATCACTACAGAAGTTCTGCTGAAAATGAGAACACAGAGGAGTCAAAAGTCTTTCATTCTTAGGGAGAATGAAAAGACAAAAGGAGTCCAGACACTGGTGGTGATGGCGGATGACTGCAGAAAGCATCCTAATAAAAAGAGACAGCCCCAAAATGATGGCTTATGATGCAGGTGTGTCACTATGCTATTGGATAGATGTGGCCAGCTGATGAGAACAGCGGATATCATTGACAGCATGGAAATTAAGAGGGAGGTGAGTGACTGTATGGATTCATTTGTTCCTCAACCTGGACCCAGATCATATTTAATCTTTGCACCTGCTCATCCGCACCTGTAGCAACTCACCAATGAAGGTGCTTGTGCTATTTTCTATCTGAACATAAAGTAGTTTACTGTGGGCCTGATCAACAGGTAGCATTTATGATCTATGACTAAATCCTCAAACATAGTTCAGTATGAACATAGTATTGATAATTAATTAAACGAGTGCAATACAAGCACTGAGTTGTGAACTCTATAGAGTGAAAACTTGGTGTGGCAGCCAATGACTGTAGAATTTTAAACACACCTCATAAAAACACAAAAAGCAAATGATAAAACAACACAGATTGCAGGAATAAATGTCAATCCTGTAGCACTAGCTGTATGTGTATGTTTTTAGATTCAGATTTTTCAATGTCATTTAATCTTTTATAAACATTTGTCATCTACTTTCCGAGAGGTTTTTGTTGTCGGTTGCAGATGTGGCACATTCACCCAGAGTTGGAAATTTAACAATAAACAATATACATAATACAATACAATGTAACATGATACTAACAACAAAAAGTAGCTCAAATAAATGGAATACTTACAAATAATGCTTCAACGAGAACACTTGTGGATGACACACGGCCTCACAGCCAGATCGGTGCCACAGAAGTTACTCAACAGTTACTGGACAGATGTCATTATTTGTTATAATTAAGTTAATGTTTAAACTGGACAGAAAACCTACCAGTGAAATGTGCTACTTTGTCCTTCAGCCACCTCAAACTATTTCAACCTAGCTAGCATCTGATATCAAAATTGATCATTTAATGTGATTTAACACTGACTACATTCAACAAAAAAAACAAACATATACCTTGTTAGCTGAAATAACTTGAATACTTAATAAATGACCAAGAAACTTACAAATAAGATTTTAGATCTGTGCCTTGAGTAACTACATGAAAGTAGAAATAACTACTGGTAGTTAAATATTAGCTACATAAAAAAGTAAATCATCAAGTAATATCTGATATTTAGCTAAAACTAGACAAACAACTAACAGTAACAAACTGTTATCTTGTGCCTCTGCTAACTCTTGATATTTCAACCTATCTTGCTCACTCAGTATCTCTTAGCTAGTGCAGTTTCTAAGTTATTCAGTTAATACTGCTCAATACACCACAGAAACAGCATTCACAAAACATATATAGCTGATTGAATTCATACTTACAGATACTGCTTCAACCAGGGTATTTAGAAGGTGGATAAAACAGTTAAATTAGTGAACATTAGTTAATTGGTTGGACAATTAATCGGAGTGATTATCTGGCATTTTTATCTAATCGGTGTTGATCGGACAAAAAAGCCTATTAAGTATGTATCATTGTTAAAAACAAAGAAAACACATTACAGACCGATAATTGTATAACAGGTTACTAAAAATATCAGGCAAACTCTGATCAATATTCACAGGAAATAATCTACTGAAAATGTATCCAAATCTCTGGTTTTACACAAACTTCCTGCAGTTATTGTGTTATAATGTGAAATATCCATAAAATATATAGTTTACTTGATGATAGAAAAAGGGGTTCCTTAATGAAAAAGGTTGGGAATCACTGCTCTAGAAGCCAAAATCATGAACATGTATTTGCCTGCAGGCGTCATCAGAAGTATCTGTGATATTGTGCTGCCCTCTGCTGGTCCTTTTACAGTACATTCAGGCTGGTTTCATATTCTGGACTCCTGACAGCCCACAATGGTACACACAGCAGACTTTACTATCACAACCCAGACCTCACCTGAGCTTCAGCTTCAAGCTTCTCAGCTCGTCGTTCACTCCGGCGGGAAAGTCGACAACTGCAAGAA